AATCAAAAATATATATTCTTACCTTCCAAAAGAGAATAACTTGATCACTGGGTATCTTAAATTGTTTTCCTGCTTCATCAGTTACATCACGTACATGTAATTCATAATCACGTTTAACAATAAATGTTTGTCGATCCGATCCATAAGCGGCTTCAAGTTTAATTATTTTACGATCTTGACGACGAGCCATTTTCTTTAAAATATATTTATTTATAATTATAATTATATAATAGAAGAGAAATTATAAATTTCAAAACAAATATTTCCTACTTGATCATTTGCTGAACGTGCGGGTCCATCGGAAAACATCTTTATAATATTCAACTAATAGAAACTGAATGTTTTATAATTTTAGTTTATATTATTTACATATCATACCTATATATATATTTTCGAATTTTTTGCCTCAGTTAATACCTTATTAAAAGATGTTTGTGATTTACAGTGAATGAAAAGCAGTGAAAAAACGAGCAATAAACTGTTTATTGAATTATTCTTTCAATTCTTTTCTTCTTCTTTTCTTCTCTCGTGACATAAGTATAGCATAGATTTGCTAGGAAACGATTTCTCTTTGCTTTTTTTTTGTTTTCCAATGTTATGTTTATATATGAACGAATAAGTAAATCGAACGAAGAGAAGAAAAAAAAGTGACAAGTAATCATAACGAAAAGAAGAAAAACAAAAATAATCATAATAGTTTCGCCCTTATTTCTTTTTCGATTTTATTTTTGTTTGACGTTATAATTTCACATAGTGACGTTAACTATGTATCTAAGGTTTCTGTTTGTTGTCACGACAAATCATGCGGTATTAATAATTTCCGAAAAAAAGAAAATGGAAAAAGATTTACATGAAATATTTTTCTTCTAGATTGTTTTTATCATAAGTCCTACATAGTTCGAATATTGAAATATTAGAATTTTAATTATGTTTCAATTTATAGATTTAAAAATAATTCGTTGTTCATATCAGATTATATAAACAAACCTGAATATCAGCATTATGTGCTGCTTGATTCATATTAGATGGATCATAAAGTTTATTCCATATAGGATCATGCTGTAAATTAGCTAATGGATCATTCGGATTTGAGCGACTTGTATGTGCAGGACCTACTCCGAGATGTGTGGTTGGTGCTACTGATCGTTGAGTACTATTTCCTGGATTATTACCACCTGTAGTTCGAGTATGTTTAGTTGGATCTTGTACTTCATACTCATATGTATACTTATAAGTTGTGCCCATTTATTTTAGTTATAGAACTCAATTCAATCTGATAATTCTTTTTTGTTGTTGTTAGTAATAAATTCACCAAAAAAAGAGTGTATAAAAAGGATGGATGAAGTTTAAAGCAGAATAGCAAATCTTTCTATTGTTGACTGTCATACCAATCATACCTTTTTCCTTTCTTTCTTTTTTTTTCTTATACTGATGTTTTTTGAAGAAGAATTATTGCAATAAGATTTACTGTAATGTTTCTTTTCGTGTTTCATTATTCATACATTTGTTATTTAATAAAAGAAAACTCGAAAATGTCATTGGAGTTTTGTATACCATAATTTTTACATATAAAACAAAAAAAAATTACGAAATTAATAATTTAGTATTTATCCTAGCATAGATTTGTATTAGTATCATTTTATGTTAAGACACAGATACAGTTGAGAATAGATTTCTTAGCTGAATAATAACAGTGATATTCGTTTTAAATTCGAGCGCAAATTTATTAAAATTTTTATTTATCTTTTATCGATTCAATCTGTTTTTTCTCTCTCTACACATATCGATACTAATCAATGGGTAGTTCAAGTTCATCTACATCATCTTCAACATCGGATGATCCTGATTGTTATATACATAATAAAATGATCCGACAACAATGTTTACAACCTCATTCTAATCAGGAATATATAATTCCAAAACCATATTTTGATGGTAATAATAATAATACTGAAACAAATCGTTCATCAACACAACAACCAGTGACATATACTGACAAAACTCAAATTGAATGTGATTGCCAAGGAAATGTTGTTGAATGTGATGAAAATGGACGAATAATACGTGTTATTAAATCTAATAATCGATAAATACTGTTGTTGTTTTAAATATAGAAGAACAAAAAAATATCCCGTGTTGATTTTCTGTCTATATATTGTATTCAGTTAGAAAGTCTGGAACTTACTAATACGCATATTTTTTGTATTGGTATCTACTGTCCTCTAGCTATTCTATTTATTAATGGCTATAATTTTTCTATAATGGAAGAAAAAAGAAACAGCAGAAAGAAGAACAAGACATGACCTAAATTACCCGTATTATTTTTTTCTGAATAAATATTTTTAGTATAAATTTTCGAAACCAGTTTTTTTCAATTGTTGACAAGTTTCTGTATTGTAAAAAGAAACCAATTATATAAATGCATTCTGTGTAATATGCACCTGAAAAGGTAATTCAATATATAATGTTATGCTTGAGTGTTTTTTTTTCAGATGTTTCGTCTTTTCTTTTATTTGATTCAATCGATTATCATCGATAATCTATTCAACTACACATAAATTATCTTATATGAAAAATAATTTTTCGTTCATGGATGATCTGATGAATGATTTAGAAGCAGGAATAACATATAATCCTTCAAGAAGTTCAAATAAAAAAATGAAAAAACGTAAACAACTTGATGCATTATTAAAATTTCGTTTATCTAAATCTAATCGATTGTCAAATGAAGTTGGTCATACTTCTGAAGATGAATTATTTTTACCAGAAAAGAAAAATACTCTAAATAAATCGTAAGTAAATTTAATTGATAATAATAATAAGATTATATATTTATTTGATTTCTATAGACAATCATCACGATATCGTCGTTGGTATAATTATACTCGACACATTCTTTCTTTTTGTTTTGTTTGTATTTTTATGATTGTCTGGTAAATTATTTTGTCAAATAATCTTTATAATTAATTGTTCGTTTTTTCTTTTATGCAACAGTGTTGGATTAGCATATGCAAATATTGAATTGAAGAATGAAGTTCAAAATTTATCTTTACGTGTCACTGAAAGTAGGCAGAATATGTGCAAAAAATTTCTTTACTTTTAACACTAATTTTTCTATAGTTGAAAAACGTTTTTCAAGCTATGAAATTAATCGTATGATATCTTTAATTGAAGACATAAAAACACGTTTTAATGTGATTGAAAGTTGGAATGTTTCGTATATTTATGATCGATTACAAAAATTACAAGTAGATTTTCATCAAATGAAAGGAAATGCTCATGCAGCTGAGGTAATTTTCGAATTTATTTCATTTATTTTTATATTAACTAAAGATTACTATTTAAGTCATCGATGAATAACGAAGAAGTAGATGTTTCATCAAAATTGGATAAAATTGAAGAAAAATCAACACATATGTCCGAACTTGCTGATGAATTAGAAGTAAGAAAATTATTTATTAACTTTTATTGAAAAATTACAATTTATTTTCTAGAAACTAAGTCGTGATGCTGATATAGTTACAGAAAAAACAAAAACATTCGATAGAAATTTTCTTACACATTTACTTGAACAAGAAGGACGAGAAAATCTTCAACAAGTCAGTTTCTTATACTAACTAATATTCAATTTTAGTAATAATTCAAATGTATTTAGGATAGAAATCAATTAGCAAAAAATATACTTTCATTGAATGAAAGTTTATCTACAAATACAAATAAATGGCATGAAGAATTAAAATCTCTTCGCGTAAATTTTAATTAACATAAAGAGTGCTATTATAATTTTGTTTTTCTTTAAGGATGAACTCGCAAGTCTCAATCAAACTGTAAAAATACAAGAATTAATTGTACATTTTCAAGAATTAAATAATATTGTTCATAATTCAACAGAAAAAGTATAGCATCTTTTAAATATTATTTATAAATGAGAAATATTTGATTTTTAATAGACATCAATAATTCTTACGACATTACAATCCAATTTGGATCAATTGAGAACTCAAATAGATGCATGTAAATGTTCTAAAGGTAAATTTCGAATAATTGAAAATATGAACTTATGTATACATATTTAGAACCTTTACGATTAAAACCATCAGTTGTTGACAGTAATCAATTGCAGCAGAGTATTGTCACAAAACCTAACAGTAAGTATAATTCAAGAGGTATAGAAAACATGTTTTCTTTTCTGAATCGAATGAGAGAACTCAACTCTCAACAAAGCTCTGTATATCTTTAAAACTACGGTTGAATAAAGATCAGAGAACAGTCTCTATACCAAATTACATTACTGTTCGTCAACAATCCTAACAGTTTCTATTTCAAAGTATCCTCTGTTTTTTTGTCATGATAGTTTAACATTCATATTTCTTTAATATTTAGCTATTAACACATCATCGTCGTCGTCTTCTACGACAACAAGCACAGTGGATGCTTCTACAGAATGTAAGTCTTGTTGAATTAAAACTGTTAATTGAACTATTTTATTTATGAATAGTAAATCAATCAGAGAAAACCAATTCTAATAATACGATTGATAGTAAGTGATATAAATTTATGTTTTCTTATAATTCTACTTACTATTCTTTTATTAGTTGCTCAAATTATCAATCCACCTCCAACACAAACTGGTTAATATTATCCGTCCGTTATATTTTTTTGTTTTTCAAATTAATTCATGTGTTATCTTATGTCTGTGTATACTTTTGTTTTGTTTTTTTTCCTTCTTCTTGTCTTTGAACAGTTTTTTTGTTAATGCTTAATGTCTGTTTGTTGTTCTTGTTGCCGGTGAGCATGAACACCATGTTAAAATCTCTATTTGTCTCTATTTCTCTTGGTTTTGCTACATTTTGTTTTTGTATAATTAATAAAAGAGTCATAAGACTAATTATTATTTGATAAAAATTCATTTTTTTAAGAAGAAAATGAATCGTAATCAGTACAATTTATATGTAAGCAATGTTTCTAATAAAACGAATGGAGATCGTTTAATGTAAGTTTGAATATAATATACTAAAGAAGATTTATTTATAAAATCAAAAACAATTTCATTTCAGTTCGTATTTTTCTCAATTTGGAAAAATTGAAAGTTATACCTTTTTTGCAAAAAATTCTGATCGTCATTGCGCAGCTGCAATAATCACATATGGAATATCTACTGATATTGATTATATAATTAAACAAAATCAACGAATAGAATTTGATAATCGTCATTTATTTCTCCGTCGTACATTGCCAATAGTTCGTCCTGCATTCGAACGTTTTATGGCATCTAATGAGTTACTTCTATCATTAACTTATCTATCTGATGATGAACAATTTAATGAAATAAATATTCGAAAATATTTTATTAAATATGGTCCAATTGTATCCTGTCGAGTTGTTATACCTTACACAACATTTTTAATTGATTATGTTGATGTAAATAGTCTTGATTGTGCAATTCTTGATGAACCACATTTTTATAATGACAATGAATTAGTACTTCGAAAATATATTTCACCAAATCGTGTTGATTCATCTCGTTTAAAAAGACTTTTATCCAATCAAAATAATAAAACAACTAAATTTTCATTTCAAGAAAGAGTTCGTCGGTTAAAACATATGACTGAAGCTATACAATTCGTACAAAAAGTTGAATTTCGTTTAATAAAATGTTCCTATGAAGAAAAAAAAATTAAAGTTAATAAAAAACAAAATGATGATATGATACAATTAAATATCGAATTAAGAAATAAATCTAATGATTTAAATCGAGATATTGAACAATTAAAACAAACAAATAATTCATTAAAATTATTAATCGAACATAATCAACGAACACAAAAACATATGGTTGATTTATATAAAGAAAAAATTCAATATGAACAAAATAAAGCCAATGAACTAAAAGAAGCAATAAATTTATTAAATTTTCATTAATTAGTAACTAGTTTCTTTTCTGTTAATTCTTTCTCTCAAAATCTTGTTAGTCAGATATTGAGTTTTGTGAAGTTTAGTATTTTTTGAATAAACTTACATTTTGAAATATGAAAAATAATTCATCTAATGATACATTTTATTATCCGTAGTGGTAAATGAATATGAAATCATGTGAAGATCGAATCGCTTCAACATTCGTACCAGAGATGGACAACTTCAGCTCGGAATTGGAGCAGAATTTTGAAAAACTGGGTGGAGTTGGAGAGGTGTACCCCGAAGTTGCCCGTCTCTGAATTCGTACATATGATTTAAATCATCCTATTGACTTATACAAAAATATGATGATTTCTTTTCGCTGATTCAATCTATTATAATACTATCACCTGCATTCTAATAAGTTGAGGATGTGGGTATGGGTTGCATATCTGCCAAATGAATAGATATTTAATCGCAATATTTATACTTGATCAAAATAACTGGGTGAAAAAAGTATCAAAAGCTTGAATATTTATTATATCTTATATAAAAAGACAGAAAATTTGAATAGTAATATCAGTGGTTATCTAACTTAAACATTGCTTGATTAAACAATAGACTTTGGAAGAAAATTGATTATTTCGTTAGTTTCATTTTGGATTCAGTCGTTGTTATTTGTACTGCTTTGCCTGATTTTAACCAAGCATCAGCTCCTTTAGTATCTTTTGGATCTTCAATATCAGCACGTAAACGTTTTTTTTCTTCCGACGAAACTTTATAATATTCATCACGTTGACGTAATAAATCGTCATTCAATTGTCCATCTTGTACAAAAGCCATCATTAATTGTGGAACCCCAAGAGGAAGTGTATCACCACGATCAACTTGCCATGCTAATTACAAAAAATGAAGCATTTGTTTTTATTTATTTTTAATTCTTCGGTTGACAAAATACTTACTATGAAAAGTTTTTCCGTACGTATGAATTAATTCTTTCATAACTTCTTTTTCAGCAATATCTGGTACGCCAGGTGCTATTAACGAACCACTTTTAACTTCATATACATGTGAATGCCATAATTTTTTTTCTTCCGAAGATAATTGATTAAAAAGATCTTCTGAAATAATATATTCAATACCAATAAGACGTGCATCTGGACGATCACTATCATAAATAACACATTGACGAACATCTTGATTAATATGTGAACAATAATGATGAGCAATTAATTGTCGATTCATTTGACCTATAGAATAAACATATCTTAATCTATATTAACAGAAATAAAAAAACTAATTACCAGAATAAAAATGAAAACCACATACATGTTGATGAATACTATTTACTGGAGCAAAATGACCCTAAATATACATATCGTCATCTAATCTTCTAATAATCAAAATCTACATACTGCCATTCGAGCACCCATATCTAGAATGTGTCCTGTAATAATTATAGAAACAAGATTTATTGATAATATAAAGCATTAATTTTAAATGAGTACCTTTTGCAGTCATTTTTGATCCTGGTGTTTGTTCACCATGTTGGTGACCGCTGGATACTGGTGTCCATTGAAAAACTTTTGAAGCACCAATACCTGCACCAAATGCTAATGCTAAGCCTATCAATCTTTTCATTTATATCTATAAGTCAATACTATATGTATTTATTTTTTTTCTCTCAATAATCAATTAATAAATGAAAGAAAAACAAAAGCAATTCTACATTTTTGAGCATACAAAGATTTATATATATATATATAAATACAAAAAAAAAGTCTTTAATGAGCTATTGTTTTATGTAAAAGAAGTCCTGCTACTGAACCACGTTCACTTAAAGCTATTCGTAGTCGATTTTCTTTTTCAATCAATTCTTCAAAACGCATTAACTAAAAAACAAAAAACAAATATTTTATCGAATACTTTATATAATGTATTCTAAATACTTCATGAAGTCGTTCAAGATCAATTTGAGCACGTCGTCTTCGATCCCATTTAAAATGTTTTGAACATAATCGTTTCGGTGCTGTACATAATTCATCAGATACTTCAAATAAATTTTTTTCTAATGGACATCCACATGCTTCGTCTGGAGCAATCTATTTATTTATTGAATTAGTTTTCTATACACAAAAAATATTATTTTTACTTTTGGTTCTCGAGAATGTTCAGGACAAATAACTTTAAGTCGTTTACAATAAAGATTATTTGTTCGATCATAATTATCACAGAATAAACCTTCAATATTCGATTTCACATTTGATCCATACGATACTTGGCTTTCAAACTAAAAATTTGTTTAATAATATTAAAAGAATCAAAATATATAACAAATATCTCTAAATCATCATCGATTATAAGTTATTCAAAGATGTATTTAAAAAGTTTAAACATGATGTTTATTGTCTGCGACCTATTGGTATAGTTTTTGATTCAAAATCGTATACTATGTGAAAGAAAACTGGTTCTGATATCTACAAGGGGGAACGAACTGATTTCTATACAAGAAATTATGAGAAATCAAAAACAAATCAACAGAAATCAGAAGGGTGTGGGTGCCAGGCGAATACAGTATCCACACCGACGCGAACATCCACCCACATACATCCTCAACTGATTTCCATACTAGAAATCACAAGCAATCATAGGAAATCACGAAAATGAAATGAGAAATCAAGAAATCAGTTTGTTCCCCCTTGGATTTCTATAGGAAGTGATGATGATGATGATTCAAAAATAAGTATTATATGTTTCCGATATTTATTTACTCGAATAAAACATTTATCAATATGTCGTATATAAGCTTTTTGACTAATTTCTTGATTACATAATATACAGAAACACATTCCATCGTGTTCATCATTTATGGTATCGTATTTCTAAGATAGATAAGATTATTTTTTGACAGAAATATTTTAATTAAGAAATGATTTACGTCTGTATCTTTTATTGCTTTTATTTGTTTTCCTCGTTCAATAATTTCATCTAGTTTTCGTTGTCGTTCATCAAGTGTAGATAATCGCTGTTTGATTTGATCGATTTCAATTATAATTTCGTCAATAGCTGTTTTATTGAGAGTATCAGCAACTGATGGGATTGTTTGCCATTGCATTAAACGCATTGGAAGAAATTGAAGAAGACGACTAATAAAAAAACAAATGTTGAAAAAATAAATTAACAAGTACTTTTTTTTTATACTTTCGAGCTAATTCTAATCCACATTTATCCGAACAATATTTTGATTCAGGACGTGCTTCAAAAAGACAACTTGGTCCATAACATTGACGAGCTGAATTTTCTGTAGTACGACGACGACGACGAACACTAAGTTTTTTTGTATCTTCCTAAATAAATATTTATTTATTTATAAAAAAAAGCAAAACGAAAAAAAAACTAACTTCATCATTTAATTCCGATCGTGGTTCTCGTTTTATAGTAGGTATACCACTACTACTCATATTTCGTTTTCGTTTTCCACTTGCTGTAGCATTTTTAGTTATTAATGCACGTTTAGTTGTATTTAAAGGATGTTTATTTATTTGTTCTTGATCATCACGTGATGTTAAAGTTTCATATTGAACTGGTTGAATACCTGTTGATCGAACTATATTAGAAGTATTTCCATGTAAAACTTGTTTCTGTCGAGACATAACATTAGCTGCTGATGATGATGAAGAATCAGATTGATTACTAGTCGAATCATCATTAGCAAATTGATCGATACTACTTGAATGTTCTCGATTTTTTCGATCATTCTATAAAAAAGAAAATTTTATAATTAATTGTATCAATGTTTTTAACATACAACAGATGTATCAATTTGTTTTAATGATGGATTCAATAATTCTGCTTCTTTACGTAATCGTTTCTAAAAATAATATAAATTAAAAAAAAGCCAAAAAAAAAACTTCATTATTGTCCTTGTGATAACAATAAACTATACATTTAAATTTTTTCCGATTATCTCTACTCAATATTCTGATTATATTATTGAGATGATTATTCAATCAACTTTACAAAACTATAGAAACATTATCTTTCGGAGAGAATTAAGTTATTGTACTATGTTTAACGATAAATTATATAATTTATTTCTTACTCTAATCCATTTGCTTAATTTTTCTTCAATTTCTTTTTGTGGTTTAGTATATTTAATTTGTAAACTTGGTTTTTTATCTAATGAAACAATATACATTCTATATATAATTTAAATAATCAACTAACGACGACATTGATGGCAAAAGAAATTTTCGATTTTTGATGATTCTTTTTCGCTCATGCCAATACAAATACCATGATACCAAATATTACATGCATCACAAGCACTAAATAAATTTTATTTTTATTGAATAATATATTCTAAAATTAGATTTTGTTTTATACATCATAAATGTTGAACAATCACTTGATCGACAAAGACAATAAAGTGTTTGACCATCACCTAAACTTGAGCTTGATAATGATTTTTGACTAAATGAACCCGATGGATGGTGTTTGAAATTTGTTGATGACATCTGAAATATACAAACTCTTCTTTTTTTTATAAACACAAGAAGAAAAAAAAGTAAATCTAATTATCAAAAATCAAGTAATAATTGCATAAGAATTTTTTCTAAATGTTGAATATCAACTTGAATTGTTCCTTCTGATGATGCTTGATGAATTGTACGTATAAATGCTTGATTTATAAATGTAAATATTAATTCTGTAAATAATTTAACCATATCACTTGATAAACGTGTTGATTTATCATCTGGTAGAAAATGTTTCAATAATTTTGTAACAAGTTCAACTTTAATATAATCATTATTACGATTATTTATTTCACTCATCTATAAATAAACAAAAAATATTTGATTAAGAAATACATTCTATTGAACAATTATTTTATTTTAGAAATATATATACATAATAACAGATTCGGTAAAAAATAAACGAAAAATAAATGAGGTACTGTTGTTAATAACGATTGAGAATGAAGATAATCAATTGAAAATGTTGAATTATCATCAAGACATTTTTTATTCATATTAGCTAAATGATCGGGTAAAATTAATAATTCACGTTTAGCTGCATTAAATAATGGAAATGGACCTTCATTACATATGTCACCTATTTTATCATCAAGATCAAATGACCATATAATTACTCCACCATAACCATGTTCTTTTAAAAATTGCATCTATTTCAAAAGAGAATTGATTGAATGATAAGAAAATTTGAATAAATTTTTATTTCTATACTTTTAATGTAACACTTCGAACATTATCAAAACCAATCCATAATGATTTACTGGATACATATGGAACACTCATTTCACGATGCCAAAATACACGATTACTTGGATTTTTTGCAAGTAATTCACATATCTATTGAATTTTTAAATAAAGAATTAAAATTTCTGGGAGTCCGAATCTTCGTCATCAAGAACCTAGGAAGACTAATCAACAGTAGATCGGCTCACTGAATCGAAATCCAACTTCTTTCGGTTATTTGTATAGAGTTAAAACTTTTTAATGCAATACAGAGATGGGCAACTCCGGGGGTAAGCAACTCCAACTCCATCTAGTTTCTCACAACTCCACTCCGACTCCAGATAAAAAAGCGTCAACTCCGGAGTTGAAGGTGCTCATCTCTGATGGATATTCTTTGTTGTTCTCTTACACGTCATGAGATCCACCGGAGTTGAATCGAAGTTGGAAAAAAGCACCAATTCCAACTCCACTCCAACTCTATCTAGTTTTTCACAACTTCACTCCAATTTCAACTTCGTTGTCTACGGTGTTAACTCCGGAGTTGGAGTTGCCCATTTCTGATGCAATATAAAAATATTCACAATTCAAAAGTGTTTCTTGTGTGACAGATTTTTAAGATTGATTTAGAAGTTAGTCATCCTTCAGCGGTAATTAATATATACTAAATATACTCTTTTTTTCTGACTAGTTTTTTTTATAAATCATTGAAAATTTACTTCATAATAAGCAAGAACTCCTGCTTCTCTTGTATATTTTCCGGCTTCAGCAGCACTTGCTTTTACTCCAATTGATGATTTTTTCTTTATAATTAATTTTCCATTTCCCATACCAGTTTCTCCAAATAATGAAAAAGCTCTTCCTTATAATATAAAATTCATTATGAAATATCTAATAAAATAGTATCTAACAAACCATATGCAGATAGGCCAATATTAAGTTTTTCTCGTGGACAACCTAATTCAACCCATACTTCCATTGAACTATTTATATTCCATTCACGATATTTTTTTCTTTCTTTATGCATTCCATACAATGGGCTGTTATGTCCAGTTTTACCATCCCAACTACCATGATAATCATCTAAATTCAACGAAAGATTATTTATCCAAATTTTTTGCATTCAATGACTTACAAGTCATTACAGATACAAAATCAAAATATCTAAGATAGAAGAAAAAAAACACAATTCATGATATTGTTCAATTGATAGATCTATTCTTACTTGCAAACTTCTTCAACTTCATAACCAGCTTCAATTCGATGTCGTGCAGCAGCTAGAAAAATATCGTTTATACATAGAAAAATTATTGTAATAACAATTTTCCATACCTGTAGCACATGTTAATAATAATTTTTCTTTTCCTGTTTCTTTAGCTTCTTGTTGAAATACACGACTTAATTTCTATTAAAGAATATATTTTCATTGAAAAAAAAGTATTAAAATTAAATATTTCATACTTTTACTAATTTTGTATATCCAGTTTTCGAATGTGATTCTGCACCTTGATCTTTTGCACCTGGATATTCCTATAACAGAAAATTTTCGTTTTCTTCTTCCAATTAATACTTTATTTACCCAATCTAAATCTAATCCATCGAATTTATTATCACGTAGAAACTTCATACTATTTTTTGCAAAAGTTTTTCTAGATTAAAAATGAAATATTTCGATATTTCTCTAAAGAAAATACAAATATACATATTGTTAGCACTTTTTGATACATCATTAAATCCACGAGATGCATGTGTCCATCCTCCAATACTCAATAAAACTCGTAGATCAGGATTAACTTCTTTTAATTGTAATATACGTTCATACATGCCTTTCGAACTTGCAGTCCATCCTTTTAAATCATCTTCTTCATAAGGTGCTATTGTTAAACTTTCAAGTACTTTACCAAAAGCAAAATTAATATGTGTACATAAAAATGGATCAATATCTTCGGGAGTTAAACGACTTATATTATCATGTCGTTTTGCTGCCCAATTAGCAAAATAACAACTAATTTTTTATATAATAATAAACAGAATATTGTTTTTTTTGTAAAATTTTCTATTGACTTACACACGTCGATAAACAAATGCTGTTTCTGATGTTTCATTTTGACAATTTGTTCGAACTAGAACAAATAAATAAATAATTATCATTTGTTTTTTTAATTATTTCTTACCTTGTCGAACTATTAACCATAGAATCATAATTAGAGAAGTCAAAATACTTGTCATTATTTGTACATACAATGACAACTAAATTATTTCATTAGACGTTCGTTGAAATGAAATAAACCTATTCTAATCTCTTTCGTATACAATGCGAATGAATGTATAGTTATGATATTTGCAAACAAACGATTGATGACATTCGTAGTGAGAGTGAGAGCGAGAAAGAAAGAAAGAGATCAATGACATAGACAAAAAATGCTTTATTTTTAATCATTAATGTGGAACACCAAATATAGAGAAAAAAATACGTGTTACAATAGGCGAAATGCGTACAAGAATTGAACACTCAAAAATCCCAAACAAAATACCGGCTATAACATCTGATATATAATGACGTCCTAATACAAGACGAGAAGCTACAACAAGACTTAACCAAATAATAATAAACGGAGATGGTAAATGTTTAAAAAATGATGTTTGAATAAAATAAAAAAGTAGAAATACAGCTCGTGATGTATGACCACTGGGAAATGAAAATTTATCAGGTCCAATTGCTAGAACATCATTATGATTAACAATTGGTCTTGGACGACGTACAAAAAATTTAGTTGTACCAATAATAGCGATATCAAGCATGAAACCTGTAAAAAGTAAAATATATTGCATTGCTTCATGTATTGTTGTATAATGAAGTGCAATCATAATTATTGAATAAGGAATCCAAACATAACCTGAACCCGAAAATTCCAAAAGAATAACAAATTTTCTTAAATAAAGATATGGCGAATCTAATCGAGCACATATTGCACTACGAATTGATAATTCATGATCATAATAATTAATTTTTTTCAACATCTGAAAGATTTTATTAAGAATAAACCCGATAATAATGTCATTTATTTAAATTTAACAAAAAGCAAAAAAAATTATATGAAATAGATAATAAAAGCTAGATATGGTTTTGCAATCATTCTGGAAGTATATAAGAACTTTGTTTGTAAAAAAAACACACATACCCATAGACAGAGACATACAATATTAAACATTTTTATCATTATCCTCTTTAGTTACTGTTTGTACTGATGGTGACGATATTAAAGCTGTAGTATAACTACCAGTTGATATTGGTAAATTGTTATTTGAGCAACAAGGTGTTGGACAACGTGATGATAAGAAATTTTGATGTTGACCACTAGTGGCTGCAAAATCACAATGATCAAGCATTTTCAGTAAATCAGCTGGTGATGGTCCACCACTATGTTGATGATGAGAAGATGATGATAATGAGAGAGAATTTAAATCAGAAGTTGAACAAATTTCAATAGCAGTTGTTAAATCAAATAGTTGTATCGATCCTAGAAAGATATATATCAATTAATTGACCTTTTTGTTTTTCTTTCAAACAAACCATTGTCATGACCAGTGAATATAAATCGACGAGGACGTGTACTTAATCTTGATGGTCCTTCACATTCATGTATTGTAAAACAACTTATTGGCGAACTATCTACAGATCGAACAACAGCAACTCGTTTGCCTAAATAAAACAAAAAATAGATATAAGTTGGATTGTTACAGAATATCAAGAGATTATCAAAGCTTTTCATGATTTTATATTAGCTACATATTTCTATTTAAAATATCGATCAATATCAAAACTTATGATTTAATTTTTCTAACTAAACTGTTTGAACACATTTTCAATCGTTTAACAAGTGCGGATTTAAAATAGTACCTCTGTGTGATAATTTTTAGTAAAACAAATGTTAGTGCTAATGGAATTGCGTTTTTTTCATACAAAATATACCTTTATATGCTCGCTCATCGGAGAAAACGATAGAATTACGATACAACATGATGGACGAAACAAGAACATTATACTAATTTATCGAAATTTTTAATTTACAGTAAAGTTTTATATCAAAGAATTTCTTATATATATAAAGGTGTAAATTTACCTGTTGAACAGAATCTAACATAAATTTGATTCGTTTCAAATGGTACTACTTTTTGAACGAACACTTGCTGATCATCACGATCACCATATGGTCCTAAATTCAGAATAATAACTTTACAAAATATTTTTCAATTGATCATTCTCACCAATATCCTATAATAAAATAAAATAGATATCAATCAATAAAAAACAAATTATCAATTTTCTTACGTTGCCAGCCGTATAACTAGCAATTGATCGAGCTGGCTCAATAGATACAATACGATAGGAAGCAAGTGGTGTTGATCCTAGAAAATATTCATATTTATTATATATATATATATATGAATAAATATCATATCTAACCTGGTTGTGTAGATATCATACCACGAAAACGAGTTACATTCCATGTACGAACATGATTATTTGAAGCACATACACTAATTATTATATAAAAATTTTGAATTATCAATTTAGAAAATAGAATTTTACCTGATCAAATGTCGTTCCGAAAGCATAATCTTAATAGAAAAATAAAATAAAAATATGGCAAGATTTTGTTTTATATTAATCTACCTTTGTGACAGGACTGCGATGAACACAGAATGTTTGAAACAATTGAGGACTAAACAAAAATAATTATTTCAAACTTCTTGACAAATTTTTGTTAAACATATTTTAAGGGTGTGGGTGTCATTAATATATCTCACCGGTATTCATATCCTCAATTTTCTGGGCAACACTGGACACTTCTACTATACTAAATCAAGTAAGATAATCTATTAGATCATTTCACTCTATTAGTGTTTCACGAGGAGAGTAAGGAAGAGAAAAGATGCTATATTGATTATTTTTTATAATTAATTACCCATGACCAACAGTTTCTGGATGTTGTACTACAATTCGAATAATACCAGAATTTGTTCCATAAGCTATTTCAATCCTATTAAATAATAAAGATCATTTATTTTTCTATTGATTTTATTTTTATTTCGTACCAATTGCCTGTAACACTTGTTTTTGGTGTCAAATAAACACTTAATGCTGTAATCGATTCACCAGCTGGATCTCTACAATAATAAACAATATTCAATACTATATTATAAGAAAAATTTTACTTGAATATTTCCGTAATTAATAAATCATTATCTTTCATTCTTAAAGGAAATTTTTGCATATCAAAATAATAAATTGATCCTGATTCACTTCCAAGTAATAAAAATGTTCCAGCCTAAAATAATAGTTTTTTTAAACAAAAATAAAGACGAAAAAAAGAAAACATACAGTATCAAAACTTAATATACGTGTTAGTTCTTGTGTTTGCCATTGCTGTGATAGCGAATGCCATACACCGACTTTTCTTTCATCACCTGTAGCTACTAATTGTGAATTAATAAAAAATAAATTATCAATCGGTCCACCAAATGCAAACGTTCCAATAATAGTATGTATAGATGCATCAACTATATTCCAAAGTCGAACATTTGTTCGTACAGCAATAGCAAGAAGTTTTGATTCTCGAAGATTAGATGTTGATTCTTGTGACTGTTGATTTGCTGTGGCTGCTGCTGCTGATGATGACGACGATGATGAACGAGCTGTTATAGCTAAACGATAAATATCATCCGATTGAACTTCTGATTCAAACATTAATTGCCATCCACTTGTATCTTTCATTTTATAACACATAACAACTATAAAAAAAATAAAAGTAGTAGAAAAACATTTCATATAAAATTCTTGCAAACCATTATTTGAATATGCAGCACTAATCCAATTATGATGTCCAGCAAGGAGAATGACACTTGCATTGGGAGAATTTTGTAGTGGAGGATGATTATCAATAAATGCACCTGATTTTTGACGAAAATGAGAAGACGATACAGAAGATTGGTGAGTTGCCCAAAGAACAGAATCGGTTGATGATGCTCGTGAATGTCCACGACTTACACTTGATGCTGACGGACCCGTAGTTACAAAGTCATTTGATAAAGCTCTACAATACAAAAGAAAAATATAGTATCGTTAACAATCCATAATGAAAATTTACAGACTGGACTTTCTAAACTGCTGCTAAGAGTAGAACTAGTAAAACATTTTCTCTGTAAGAACACAGCTCAGTAATAAGTAATACATGTCTCTATTTGTTCATATATGATTTGTCCCGTTTTATGACGATTAAAAATACTATTTATATTCTAATGCAACTGGAAAATACGAAATGAAAGAACGCGATATTTTTATCAGTACGTTAAATACACATATAATTTTAAACTTTCATTTTCATACCTGAAATCACCTATTTGTGATGCACTACGATTTAAAGTTTGTTGCATCATATTATTTAATCGTAATGCTGTACCAGGTCGAACAGCACTTGTCGGTTGACAAATAGGTGGTTGATAAACTATCGGTTGAGGCAATGTTATATGTGCTGATTCAAATAAAGTTGGTGTATTTGTTGAATGTGGTGGATTAATATAACCATTAAAAAGTACATCACCACATTGACTATGTTCAAGATCTTCACAAAGTTGTAAACGACGAATCAATGGTTGAACACCATAAAATTCACATTCATGTTTTAACATATGTAGATCACAACCATTAATATCTTAAAATAAATAAATCAAATGAAATATTCTTATAGAAAAATAAATTTTCTTATTTACCAAGTTCTTTTGTTCGTAAATAATTTAAAATAATTGAGAATAATTTTGGATCACGATCAATAAATATTGCTCCTTGTTCATCACGATTTGTTGATATTAATCCATTAAGCATGGCAGTAAAAAATGAATCTGATATCCATGTTAATGTTTGTCGACTAGTAGAAAAACGTTGACCACCAACATTTAAATTAATTATATCTGCAGATTGATGTGGCATTATTAGTTTTATTTCTTTTTATATATATTTAAAACATCTAGAATAAAAAAATATTTCTTTTAAAAATTATTAATTAATGATAGCCATTGATTATTCGCTTCGGAATATTCATTTGTTTCATTTTCTTTTATACGAAATTCAAATTCTTGATAACCTAATAAAATCTTACGATCATTTAACCATGAAAATAATCCTGTACCAGCAAATTCTGCTAATGGATTTATTTCACATATGTATACTTGATTTTCAATTAAAATTAAATCCAATACACAATTCTCATATGGAATTCGTTCAAGTAAATTTTCTTTTTGAAAAAAATCTTTAATAGATTTTAAAATAGAATCCTTCTTTTCTATTAAAATTTTATCTAATATATATTCATTATATTGAGTCAGTGCTGTAAATTGTCGTTTATATATAAATGCACGAAATTCACTTTTTAAATTTTGACGATCAATATGAAATTCTCGTATTATTAAATTAAGTGACGATGATGATTTTAAATCATCTTGTATACGTTCGCTAGCAAGAAGAATTTGAATTGCATGAAAACCATCATTGATAGCAAGTATACGAATTGATGCTTCATCAAGAGCAATTAATTGTTGATTACGTTCTAAAAATAAGACAATTATATAGATATATATATAATAAATAAATAATAAACCAGATGTATTATCAGGTTGCATATCACTCAATATTTGCTGAAAGATTTTTTTAAAATTTTCTTTATTTAATAATAAAATCGCATCTTTTGGACTTCTTGTTGATAAACGAACAAACATTGGTCGTTTGATATCACATGAATCGATAGCATTAGCTAGTTTTGATAATGTTGGATATTGTTGAAAGCATGCTTCTGTTTTTTTATCATCATTATCGATCGTAAAAAGACTTTTAAAATATGTATGTCCATCATGAAGTGCTTGAATATCATCTTTATTCATCGTTAAAATTCTTGATGGAAATGTCCATTGTTTAATAGCATCATAATAACATTCAAATTGTGTTTCATTCATCATTTTTCGATATGTTTCACTATCTGGACATAAAAGTGGTTCATTGAATTTTTCTTTCGGTTGATTCGTTGAACGAAGTCGTACTGATTTCAATTGATCAGCAAATGACATTATAATCTAAAAAAAATTTGATAAAACAAGACAAGAATTTGTTCCACCAAAACCAAATGAATTCTTCAATGCAATACGTTTTTTATTATTCCATAATGATGGTTTATCATCAGGAATAATATTTACTAATGATGATTCTTCTGAATCATCACTATTATTTTTATAATTTAATGTAGAAGGACATTGAGCATGATAACAAGCAAGTGTAGTAAAAAGAGATTCAAGAGCACCAGCAGCACCAAGTAAATGGCCTGTATGACCTTTAGTACTCGAAACTAATACATTTGGATTATTCGATTGAAACAATTGTGTGATGGCTTGACGTTCAATACGATCACCAATTGGAGTTCTATAAGAATATGATAAAACTAATCAGTAGAATCTTGCAAAAGAAAAAGTTTATTTCGAGATCCGATCGATTTATCATATCATGTATCAAAATAAAAATGTGTAATTTAAATGAACGTCTATCCATTATTTTATCTGGCGTTAGTAGTTAATTTATGAGTATATAAATTGTTAAAGTATAACACTTACGATGTGGCATGTGCATTAATATAACCAATATCTTCGATATTGAGTTTAGCATTATCTAATGCATTTTTCATACAATTTAATGCTCCTATTCCACTAGGATTTGTAATATGACTACCATCTGAACTTAGACCATAACCAAGTATTTCACCAAATATTGTAGCTCCTCGTTTTTCAGCACATTCAAGACGTTCTAATATAAGAAGAGCTGCTCCTTCGCCCATAACAAAACCATCTCGTTGTCGACTATAATAATTTCAAGTTTAATAAGTCGTCAGTCTTTCGAAGGACAAAAAACTATTTACTCAAATGGTCGAGATGCAAATTTAGGTTGTTCATTAAATGTTGTTGAAAGTGCACGCATTCGAGCGAAACCTGATATTGTTATTGGATTAATTGTAGCTTCTGTACCACCACATATCATAGCATCAGCATGACCAAGACGAATCATATTATAACCATCGCCAATTGCTTGAACACCTGCTGCACAAGCTGAACTATTACATAGCTAGAATAAAAATACTTGTTTAATTCAATGAATATTTCTAATCTAATATTATACATTAGGTCCTTGTAATTTATATCGAATTGATACATGACCTGCTGATGAATTTGGTAATATTTGTGTTATATAAAAAGGACTCATTCCACGATATAGTCCTTTTGTTTTTGTTTGATCTAATATTGTACATGTGTTTGCTATACCAGCCATTCCATTTCCAATTGAAACACCAATTCGTGTTCGATCTTTTGATTCTGAAAGTATCTATAAACTAATTTTCTTGTTGATTTGTAAGAAAAATAAATATTTACTTGACTTTGTTCAATTGCTTCGTGAGCTGCGACAAGAGCAAAAGCACTTGCCAATGACATTGATTTTAAATCGGACATTCGTGAAAAATAATTTGAAAAATTAAGTGAACCATCTTGATTTTTATTTTCTGAACTTATTGGAACACGACCAGCAATTTGACATGGAATACCTGCATATTCTGATTGATCAAGTGGAACAATACCTGAATAATTATCTAATAAACGACGCCAATTAAAATCGACACCAACACCTAATGGTGAAACAACACCAAGACCTGTAATCACCACTCGACTAATACTCATGTATACATATATATATATCTAAAATTTATTTAATTAAAAAAATATAAATATCTAACTGATTAATTGGAGATTTTAGTATGATGATCACACCATGGCGTTAAATTATAATCACACTCGATATTCACATCTAGCATATTATATTCGATTCCTTGATTAGTAGTTTTGATATTTCTATTGATTACTTTATATTTCGTTGTATTAAATCCCATTTCTGGATGAAGTTTTTTTCCTTCCGCTTTCTGTTTTCCATATTTAGCATAATCTCGTTTATGTACTTGTTTATCATGAACATGTTGAAATGTATTTGTAGAATTTGTCGATAAATTATTTGGACGATATATTTTCATTCCAGCATGTTTCATCCGTACATATAAATTATCGTCTTCTCTACCCCATCCCCAATATAACGGTGACATCCCATTAACACGTTCAAAATCTTTACATGTAATCATCAATATTCCACCAACATATGTAGAATAATTATACATTGGATGATATTTTGGTGATGCTAAATGTACAGGACCCTTTTCTGGATAATCATATCGTAATTCTTTATCGTTTAATGGAAGAAGATCAATATCATGCATAACAATATAATCAACAATTGTTTGAGATTCAATAAAACCAATATTAATAAGAGCAGCTCGATTGAATCGATGTGTATCAATTTGATTTATAATCATAAAAATATGATCAATTGATTGTGAATTAAGAAATGAATTCATATGTGGTAAAAACAATTCTAATTCATTTGAACGATTTCGATATGGAACAATAACAGCTAAACGATGTTTTACTGAAGATATTCTTTCATTTGATTCTAGTTTTGATGAATACCAAAAAGAAATAAGAAAAAATAAAATAAAATAAATAACAGCAAGTCGAACTATTAAACCAATTTTGAACATATCATTTTTCTATTCAAGATTTAGAAAAGAAAACAAAAATTCATTACAATCGAAAACGTATACTCAAAAAAATGAACGAATCAAATTTGATCACGAACCTTTACAAAGATTTTTATCTACTGCCATCTGTTTTTTGTTGTATTCATTATCTTTTCTTTTTTTTTTGTCGGATATTTATTTATCTTTTTACGTTGATATATTTTGAAAATATAAAAAAAGGATTTTTGACAATAATACTCGATGATTCATTTTAATAGTTTAAAACAATCCGTATTACGTATGCATATATACCTCATCTTTTAAAAATAAAACATATGCATTGACTAATTTCGTTTTTTTTTCTTCTACAGATCATAAGTCAAAAAAATGACTGAAGAAGAAATAGGAAAAATGAATCGAAAATTACAAAAAATGATCGATAAATCCGAAGTTGTAAGTTTAAATATTACCTTTTTTCGCTCTCTCTATTTAAATCATTTTAGGATGATACAATTGCACGAGATTTACTGAATCGTTTACAAGAATCACGTATTACACTTAGTATTCTTCAAAAAACTGGTATTGGAAAAACAGTAAATAATTTACGACGAGTTATTGCAAATGAAGACTTATCAACTGTAGCTAAAAGCTTATTAAAAAATTGGAAGAAACTTGTACCAGGTTTGTAAATTCTTGTTTTTTCTTTATTACATTTTTTTTTCTCTTAAAGAATCTTCATCTACGCCAATAAGTAAGGATGAAAAACAAACCACACCAACAAATAGTAATAATAATAGTCAACAACCACAAGAAACTAATACAAATACTAATAAAACTATTGAAACAAGTAAATCTATTGAACGTCAAAATTCACAATCAACATCAAGTAGTGTTACAGCATCACATACCTATGATGAAGTTAGGTATGTAGATAAAATTCGTTTTTTCAAAATCATATTTATCAATTTATTATAGATTAAAATCTCGTGAACTTATGGCAGCTGCTTTTTCAATCTCAGAGCTTCCAGGAGGATCAGCGGATCCTGTAGAACTCGCTGCTCGAGTTGAAGATGGTAAAAGACATTTTGGAAATTAATCATTTCTCTTTTTTCTTTTATTATGCAGCTATTTTTAAAGAGCTGAGAGATACAGGTGTTAAATATCGAAATCGTATTCGTAGCCGTATATCAAATTTAAAGGATTTAAAAAATCCTAACCTTCGTATCAATGTTCTTCTAGGTATTATTACACCTGAACGACTAGCTGTACTTACTGCTGAAGTATATTGAATAAATTGATTTTATTTTCATTTTATGAAAATAATTTCTTTCTTATTAAAGGAAATGGCAAGTGATGCTTTAAAAGAAGAACGTACAAAATTACATGAAAGTGCTATTAATGAACATCAACTTGCTATGGATGAAGGTACTGGTACTGATCTTATTCAATGTAACAGGTAAATATTTATTTTGTAATATAACATTAATAGGAACAAAAAAAAATTATTTTCAGATGTAAACAAAATAATTGTGCATATACAGAAGCTCAAACACGTAGTGCTGATGAACCAATGACTTTATTTGTTTTTTGTAAAAATTGTGGTCATCGATGGAAGGTGAGAAATTATTTCATAAGATTTTTAGTTCTATTAATTCTTTTTTTATAGATGTAATCCGTGTTAACTGATAACAAAAAACTGAATGATTGTATGTATTAAGTAACGATAAAGGTTGATTTCAATTAAAATATCATTTAATTTTTAGTGTTGATTTACATCTATTGTCAATTTCATAAAACGATTGCATTTTGTCATCGTATTAGTCTGATTTTGTTTTCTTAAATCTTTATTCTATTGGAATATCTTCTATGTCTCTTTTCATTTTTGTAACAATAGAAGAGAAAACATCTTGTTGTTATTTTTTTCTTGTTATTTCAGATATTCTGTTACTTTCATTTTTATTACATAAAAATGGCCGGTGGAACAAGTAACAAATCAGCATCACAATTAATGGCTGAAGCAAATAAAAAAGCAAAATCAGCAGGTGGATTTTTTCAACGTATGATGGGTGCTGGTAGTACTGCAAATGATGATGCTCGAGCACTTTATGTTCAAGCTGGAAATGCTGGCAAAGCTGAAAGTGATTATCCAACATCAGTTGAAGCATATAAACGCGCATTAGATTTAAGTAGTGAAGATTTTGAAAAAGCTCAAATGTATGAAGCTATTGCATCATCATATAAAATGTTTGATGTTCCACAAGCTATTCCACCATTAACACGTGCTGCTGAAATGCATATGTCACAAGGTAAATGGACAATGGCATCTCAAACATTGGAAAAAATTGCTGAATTATATGAACAATTGAATGACCTTGATAATATGATGAAATGTTTAAAAGAAGCTCATCGATTTTTAAAACAAGAAGGACAAAAAGCGGGTGCTAATCGAGTACAAAAGAAAATGGCTGAAATACTTGCACTTCAACATGAATATATTCGAGCACAACAAGAATATGAAGAAATGGGCGATAGAACAAAAGATGATAATTTACTTAAATATGGTGCAAAAGATTTTTGGTTAAGGTATTAGTTTTTTTTTTTTTTTCTTTACAAAAATTTTCTTTAAATTTTTCGTTAATCTATTTAGAGCGACAATGTGTGCATTATGTATTGATGTTGAAAATGCGAATACGGCATTGAATCGTTATACTAGTGATAATCCATTATTTGAAGAACGAACACTTGAAGTTAAATTACTGCGACAATTAATAAGTGCTGTTGAAGAACAAAATAAAGAATTATTTTTGAAACATATTGATGACACACCATTATCAACATTACGTTCGGATCGCGTATTTCGTTCATTATCAGACGACATTGCGAAAAAGATTAATGGTGACGTTGATCTTAAATAGATCAAAATAAATTTAAGCAACAATATAAAAATTTTTTTTAATGGATTTTGTGTGCGCGTGTGTGTGCAATAAAAACTATATAAACCAACAATCTAAGACATTTCTTTATCATTATCGTTTATTTATTTAATTTTTGTCTTTCTTTTGTTTTTTTTTCTTCTTTTTGTATGTTTAAAGACGAACACGGGATTTAAAGAGCCATTCCATGTTTTACTTTATCACTGGCGTGTGTCATTCTCTTTTGTCTTGTATTGATTTATAACTCATTCTTTTTTTTTCTATTAAATAAATTACAGACATAAGAAGTAATCCATTAAATAATGAATGAATTAAATAAGTGACTTCTTTTTTTTGTCCTTCCGGTATATTTAATGGAAGCAATATTCCCGTTGAACGGATCCGGTGATCGGATTTATCCGGTTTGGGCTGGAACCAACAGAAACATGTCGAAACCGGCAGTCGGATACGGCTACCTCACTTTGGCATCGGATTTCTGGCATTTTCTGGGTGAGTTACACACGGAAATGGCAAGTTTCTTCAGAGATTTCGCCGGAAGTTCATGGAATCCTGCTTCAGGAACCATCGTCCTGGGTTTGTGCTTCAAATTTCGAACGACGAATAGTCATTACTGAGGATCAGCATGAAGTAAGTCTCCTTGAAAAGAACATTTACAATGGAATAGCAGATATGATAAAATTTAACACGACAAGAAATCTATTGATCTTTGCCAACTTGTTTATAACGAAAGGCACTTATTAATTATTTAATTCTTTCGGGTAAACGATGATCTTGGGGATGGGTGTGGGTGTGAGTGTGGATAATGAATGAGAAGAATACACACACCCACACCTACACGTCCGAAAGATTGCAAGACGAGTATAGACGAAAGCTAAGGAAGCAGGTATTAATGTAACATTGGAAGAAGGTTTACATATGACACATATATCCCGTGTTTTTTCTTTATTTTCCCGAAGCCCGAAATACACTTGATAATATTAACAAATGGATTCAAACGATCTAAGAAAACAACAAACAATCATATATATACTTCATATATCTTTGACATCTTGAAGGTGGGTGTGGGTGTGAGTGTCTATCTTTCACACCCGCACCCCACATCCACACCCTTATTACAAACAAATTCTGTCAACAAGTTCATAAAGTTTTTTCTTATAATTTTAAGTTCGACAGAGTTTTTTTTAATGGTTTATCATGAAAAGCCCTGCAAGAAAAGTATTCTCTTATGTGTTAAACTAATATAGGATGCGCCAATTATTTATAACACCGTAAGTAGATTTCATATAAAAATTCGAATTGAATTGTTAATTATTTTTTATATTTTCAGGTAAGATGCCTCGCTACTTATTCACATATTAACAATTTTTTTTATTTACGTCTCTTGAAAATATAACAAAATCTCTTCTAAAAATCATTGAGAAAATATAGATATAGACAGATTTCTCTGCATATAAATTCTAATTATTTGAGAATATTACTGTCATCAATAATATGTATATATTTCTCATATCTCTATTTCACTCGTCTGATTAATAGACATCGTAGTAAATATTATTATATATATATATTCGTGCTCATTTTTCTATTGGTCGAGTTTTTCTCCGTGCTCGTGTGCCAAAAGAAAAATCTGACGAAGAAAAAACTTTAGATGATAAAATTTTATTTTTATCTGTCTCTTTTGACTAAATAAACAGCATTTATTAACATACTCATCCATTTAATAAAGCATTTTATATTTCATAATTATGGATACAGTCTCTGTCTTAAACATTATACAAAATACATTATACGCTGTAATTGCATTCTTTGCTCTTGTATATTCAAGTACAATTTTATTTATTCCACGTTTTCATGAACGAAATAATATCTTTATACTTAATATGTGTATTTCTATCATATTCACTTGTCTGGTTTTAACAATCTATTTTATAGTTATCTATATTAATATTCAAGCAGATATGTGTATTCTTTTGTACTATGCCTTTAATATCGCATGCATAGAAATTCCATTTGCTTTCGTAGCCTTTTCTCTTCATCGATTTTGTTCAATAGTGTATCATACAAAGCCTTTATTTAAGAAAAAACGATGGGTGATATTATATATTTTAATCTAATGGATAGCTCAGTTACTTATTTCATTACCATTCGTTCGTACTAAAAAACTTGGACGGATATACTACTTATTTTTTCCATTTCTATAACAACTGATTAATACTAAATAAGAAATTTTAATGAGCACTTTTTTATGAATAAATAGTTGATTCAATTTGATAAGATTAATCATATGAAGAGAATTAGTTTTTTATCTTATCGAGCATCTACTTCTATTAAGTTTCTGTATAAAAAATAAATATTAAATTAAGATAAATGCATGATTCGTTATGGATATTACATCAGATAAGAGATGAAGTTGTTGAAAGAAATCATTTACTTCGTATAATGACTAATGAGAAGACAAACTTAGTAAAGCTATCAAAAAAAAAGTTCTTTCTATTCAAATAATATCAGATTTATTTTGTCGGAGTATAAATACTATGTACAATATTTATTTTTCTCATTACAGTATTGTCACTATGAATTGTGGATGGGAATTTATACATGTATTATGGCGATATTTGTACCTGCATTGCTCAATATTATATTAAATACACTTATCTTTTCATATGTTCGATCTTCTACTCGTCGTATTCAACCTCAAAGTAATAATGCATCGACAAATGGTTCCAACAATCAGCAACCAAGAATGAGTCGTCGGGATATGTCCTTATTAAAACAGATGCTTGTTATGTTTTCAATGTTTATTGGAGGTTGGACTCCGATTTTAATTGTTTACACTATGAATATAGCAATCGATGTTGATATAAAAATCATAAAGATCACTGTATTATTTAGTGAACTATGTATATTTGGTATTGTTATGAATTTATATATATATAATCATGAACTAAGACATTATTTATTAAATAAAATTCGACTTTTATTTCAACGTTAAGAACATTTACAGAACTGTCGCTAAATATAAACTATTAAATATTGTTTTATGTATCTGTACGTACATAATTCTAATAAATAAATGTTGTTATAAATCATCACTATTCTATGTACTTTTTCAAATATCTACTAGCTTGTCTAAACGAGTGAAATAAAAACTATTGCTTATTTAATAATACAACTCTGCTCAAAGCAACTTGAACAAAATTAATTTTTTTCTGTATAACGGTTTTCTTGCCGTTAGAAAGTAATTACAAATTTCATTTTTCCAGGGATATACGTTTGTTAGTTGTACTACACGGACACTACATAAAAGTGTGATTTCTTTTCTTTTTGATACATAAACATTTAATTATGGCATCATCTATTGATTTAAGGATGTGGGTGTGGGCGAGTGTTTATGTGGGTATGGTTGTATCTTTTCATTACTTACACCCACACCCACACCCACCCACACCCTCAAGATGGATTTTAGAAATCACAGTGTATATGTAAGTTAAAATCAAATCGATAATATCAATAATCCGAATATCAAAGAGAAAAGTCAGATTAAACAATTATGTTTTTTATCATAGTGAATATTAAGATTTCGTTTTCTTAGTGTGAATTGCATTTTTAAAGGTAGAACGAGAAATGTGTTTTTTTATCTATTTAAATGAATGAACTTTGTTAGTTTTATCAATTGACATAGATTCTTTTATATTAGACATATGGATAAATATTTATATAATTATTATCCATCGAGCAAACTTCTATATTAGTAGTAAGATTAACGTCAGTATGATCATTAATTGTTGATTTTATTAATAAAAAAAAATATCGAATATGACAATGAAATGAAAATAGAGAGTATGTATATCATCTGATTTTATACAGCAAAATCAAACATATATGAATAACATTTCTAATATAAACTATGAGAATATTTTTCATAAAGATATATTCATCAGTTTTATATAATTTTTAATCTTGATTTGATCGTATTTGTACAAAGCTAATAGTTAGAATATAGACATTTTTTCATTGTATATAAAAAGAGATTTATAGTTAGAATCAATTAAATATAAAACAATTCTTTTTCTTCTTTCATCATCATCATCATCATTATCACATTGAAAACAATATAATTTGTTAAGATTTTAAATTGTTTGATGTTAAAAGATTTGAAAATAAATTCGAAAAATGGAAATTGTCCATTGTATATCAGACACATATTCTTAGATTTTTTCAATAGAAATTACAGTGGAAAAAAATATCTCAGATAGAGTTTTATCAATTGAAAAACATACTTAATCGTTTTCAGCTATGATTATCTTTACAATGATAATAGTTCAGTAGTAGAGAAAGAATAGCAGATAAAACCTATTAGACAATTTCATACGATAATCAATTTATTGATACAAATAAACTCATTGTTTTATGCAAATCATTTGTTTATAAACAACAATGACGCTTGCAGATTTATTTTTAACTAAGACTAGAAGCATGCTTTCTGTTATGAATAGTCAAACTAATCAGTTTTATGTTGTTAAAATTGTTTTTCATTAATTCGTACAAATATCATACATGCTATGTTTCAAATCAAAATGTAACAAAACAACTGTAATGATATTGTTTTTTTTCATGAGATAATCAAAGTCATATGATATTATTTTGATGAAGACTTGTTCGAGTAATCATTTAAATAATTCTATTTTCTTAATAATAACATTTTTGAATAAAGAGAGAAATGATATCAATCTGACATTGTTTCTCTTACAATATCAAGATCAGTCGACAGTGGACTGCCGTGTGAATATGTGACAGAAGTTGGACAAAATGTAATTTATTTATCATAACTATGATTTTTTTTCATTGTAACTACGCGTGACTGCATTGCAATTACGTACGTATGATAGTATACGATCGTAATAATCCTTATTCAACATTCGCGTTGTTGCGTGATGAACAAGCGAATGTTGAATAAGACTCATTGCATCGCTTTTTCATCGCAATAGAGCACGTGGAAACGGTTGAGTGATTTTGTTTTAAAAAATGTTTAAGTTTTTTCTCTATTATTTTATTTCTTTGAGAAGAATCAATTGAATTTTATTGTAGAAAATTTTGTTCAATGTTATGTTAAACATGAAAGAGAAGTCTTACAAAAAGTTTTGCAACAATATTTTCTTTTTATTTTAGTGGAAAAGTTGCAATGATTTAATTATGTTCTTTATGATTATGACAATTATTCAAATAAATGAACAAAATGTATATTATAAATATCTACGATGATTTATGTAAGTTTTTAATAAATTATTTCGCTTTCTTCAATTTGAAAATTTTCATTGAAAATATATTTGTAACAATATTCGATTTTTTTAATTTGAAAATTTATAAAAAAAACTTAGCTAAATAAATAGACTTTCTTATATTAATTACATTAGTATTAATCCATTTTCTCTTTTATTTTAAATAGAATTAATAATTAATTCATTATATTTATCATATTTTAATCAAAATCTTATATTATCTAAGAATTCAAAATAGAAATTTAACAATTCGAACTGTATATAAAAACACTTTCTTTTACTTTTTTCTTAGATAGTAGATTACATATAATGTGTCATCTGTTCTGTATTAGATATTTTTGAGTTTTCTATTCCATAACATGATGTTTCTTGTTAAAATATTAAAGACGAAAAGATTTATCAAAGTCAGATTAAAAAGTTTTTAATTTCTTTGCTACGACATGGCTCGTTTTCCTTGATTCTTGTTTATTTTCTATTTCTTTGAGCTTGTGATCAACGAGTTTGACTTGTTAATTGTTATCTATTACATAGCTTTCTTTATATATCAAATAGCTATTCAGGATTTATCTTATCGTCAGTCACTTTTCTTTGTGGGAGCTTGAGAGTTCGAAGGATTTATTTCATTCAACGAGTCAGTGCTGTCTTTCCTATTGACTTCTTCTGGTGACATGATAACTATCAAAAAATTTTGATTGGTTTTACACGAGAAAGCTGAAGAGATACGAATACGAGACAAGAATGTGGATATTTCGTTCTCTTACCTCTCACATATTCTATACTGTGCATTCGAGGACGAAAAAGTAATCTGAGTCATTATTCAAGTAGACGCGAGATTCGATTTACTATCTTATTAGAGGTCAAGTTAAGTGCGCTCCAAATTTAGAGTTTACGAGTATCGAAGTTTTGGCGAAAAACTCTACCTGAAAATTATAATCATCTATTTTTAATTGCTCTGATAGGTACTCTGGACTGTGGTGAGTCGACCGATGATGCTCAAGAAAAACAAATACTCAGTTACAAGCAATGATTTGTCGAAAAACTCGGAAACTCCAGATTTGGAGCCCACTTAACTTGACCCTTATATCAGAAGATAAAAAGAGAACGAAGAAAAATCAATAGAGCAGAAAAGAAAATGAGTAAGTAGATTTATTAAATGTTTATTGTTTGCAAGAATGAATATTTATTTTAAAAGAGCCTCAAAAACTAACACTACTATTACATAATATGGCAGAAAATCTTCGACAATTAAAAGTTAATATTTCCTAATTCAATAAATTCCATTATTGATTTAAAAAAGAATTTCTAATGTAAAAATAAATTTATTAAAAAGTTTTATATAATTTTCAATTTTTTGTTTATTTAGCAAAAATATAACCATGGCCAACAAGACTTTGAAAGGATGATTAATATGTGTATTTTATCCTTTTTTGTTCATACGTTTGTCTTGGTTCATTCATTTCTATGATCTTTATTCCACGGCAGAACAATATAAACAGTGTCCAAATTACAAGAAAAAAACATTTCATGTAATGATTGATTATATCTGGATAAACAATAAATTTTTTTGTAAGGTTAATTACATTATTTGATATATCATAATTATTGTTTATCGTACAAAGAAAAATCAATATTCTCGAAATTTTTACCGTCTTGAGGGTGTGAGTGTGGTTGTAGCTGTAGGCACAACTGATTGCCTTGTTCTCATTCATTATGGATGTCCCATCGGCACTTACATCGGATCTTCACCCACAACCACAAGATGGGCGGTAAATACCATCGTAAACGTCTGAAAAAGGTGTATTTCAGACACTGAGCAGGAAGCAAACGATACTAATAGAGCTCGCCGTTACTCGACGGAAACGGTATGAAACGGCGCCGTTTCAGTTGGTCTGAATGATCGATCGGGGGTGTTTCATTTTATTTAACATACGTGGAATATATAGGCGATAAAATTAAAGAAAATGTTTAATTTATCGCCTACTGTACTAATCCAACAACGAAAAGAACAACATCGTCTTTGTAATGCTGTTATTAAAGAACTCGGTAAGAGCTTTGCTTTTTAGTATCAATACGAATTTCATATTTTAGATGTAGTTCTTCGATATATTAAAGATCAACAAAACTAAATCGTTTATTAAAAAATTTGTTTTTTGGTATATAGTTTTTGTAAAGAACAATTTTCTTACTGATTATTTTGTATATTTTTTTTAATTGTAAAAAAAATTAATCATTTGTGTGTATTTTTTAATTATTAAAATTCCATTTCAATCATTCCACTAGATTTGTTGTTCTTATCTGAATAAGAATCACTCACAATAACATTAAAGATACTATTCGTTTGATTTTGTCATAATTCCTATCAACAAAATTTAATATAGAAGTTGATATATTGCATAATATCAAACAGATAAATAATTAAAAAGTTTTAGCAATATTCTTATTGCAAATGAATAAGATCATAATTGCTATTTATTACTTATTTATATTTACATTCTAAAACAACATCTTTTGAAAACAATCATAAAATACATAATCACCTCTGATTTTATTCTTTTCATATGTTCATAAATTAAGATTCTTTCTCAATACATCGATAAAATGATGAAAACATTTTAAACAGCGTTTACAACAGATAATCATCTCTCTTTTTCAATAAATCATTCGTGTATCTTTCTTCGTTTTTTATCTTGTCTTTTTTAGATTTTAGTTACAC